ATATCGTACATTGCCTCATCGTTTTCTACTATTTTTTTTTTTTTTTTAACTAACCCATCTTTTCTAAAAAATCGTTATTACGTCAAACTACCAAAAACTTACGAGGTCTCGCGTAAAACAATCGCCCCGTGTGCAACGTCAAACGCACGCTGCAGTTTCAACAAGCGCCCACCGCGGACCATCAAAGCGTCTCAAAACGCCAACCACGATAAAGCGGAAACGATAGAAAGCCGCCGATCGACCGTCACTATTCTTCCCACGGATCGGATCGACCAGGGATCGATATAATCCCCCAATTATCGGCCCGATTAATACCGCGTGTGATTAGCAGTTAAATCACCAGGTGACGACACCTCGTCCAAGTCCCGAATTTCATCGAAATACGCGTGATCGAGCCGGGGCCCGGGATCGTTGATTAACCATTACCATGACGATGGCGCGAACCATCGTCGCGTTACCGGATCGTTATACCGCCTCCCCCACCTGATCCCGGCTGAACCGAAAGGCGAAATGTTGCGATTCGCCAACGTTGTACGCCTCTCTCCCCTGTGATTGTTAATCAACGTAAATATTTAACGAATCCAGGTAAACGCGGGACAAAATCCGCGAGTTAGTCATTGGAGGAGACGAATGAATACGGGCAATTTGGAGGGTTGGGCCGGAAATTGGTATATATACATATACACGTATATACACAGAAAGGGGACTGACAACGCCAGTTGGAAAAGCGCAGGATGGTGAATGCGGCTGTTTAGATATTATTTAGCAGTAAATCGCGATGCGGAAACTGGTCGGGGTGTAACGCTGACGCGGCAACACGTTAAAGGCGGAACCGGCCCTCTACCGAAATCAAATCCCATCCCACCCCCTCTTTTCCTCCCTCCTCTTCCAATCTATCCGCTCTATCTTTCGTTATTTTCCTTCCTCATTTCCCCAACGATCTCTGCCCTTCCTCTTTAATCCGAATTCCCCGCCGGGGGTAAGATCCGGGGGTGTACGGTTGACGAATCGTAAACAGAATCGTGACAGGACCTCGTGACAGAATCCTCCGATAAATTGTGATCGATCGGACGATTTCCAATCGTCATTTCTCTGCCAGTCATCATTTGGCTGTTAATCAATAAAATCGTCGCGAGAGAAATTTAGAAACGGAAATGGGATCGCGCGAATATTTTCATCGATGTTGCGTCGAAATTAAACGAAGGGCGCGCTCGTAATTTTGGCGAGGAGGAACGTTAGAATTTTCGATAGAGATATTATTTATAATAAGTATGGTAAAGGGTAAGGCTGTTGAACAAGAATCCTGATTACGTGGGCCGAGAATCGTTCCACGGTCAACCGTTTCACGCAATTCTAATTAGCAATACCAGTGAAGGGGAAATTGCAAGTGCAAGGGGGCGCAGCAACGCCTGCGGGAATTGTTGCCGCGCCAAATGCACATTCTAGCACTTGAACCGGGCTCCCCGGTTGCGAAATTTCTCCGGGTACACGATCCCGGGGAAACCTCGTTGGCCGGCGACGGGAAAATCTGTCGAACAGTTTCGATTCCAGAACTAGGTGGGACGAAAGTGGGGGAGAGGGGCGATTCCGTTCACGTTGGTACAGTGATTGACATTTTACGATTCGGGACAAACGAAACGCGGATCGATCGAACCACCGCACACGGGGACATTCGATTAATAAAGGGAAATAAAAATTCATCGTGCACCGTGTAACCGTGGAATCGTGTAAATTTCACCGCAGAGATAACGAATTTATCTTTTAACTTGTGATATAGGTTAAAGAGGGAACGATCGAAAATTGAAGGAAGCGAAACGTGATTGGTTGTTCGAAAGAAATTTCGAATCGTATCGTGCACGATGGGAAAAATTGAAATTGGAAGGGGAAATCGATGAAATCGGGTTCTCCAGAGGGAAGGAAAAATAAACTGGAAGACAGTACGATTGTGGCCGCATTCCGATCTGACGCAGCAGCCGGATAGTAGATCGGGATACGAGACAGCCGGAGATACGGTTCCAGGAATAGTTACCACGTATGCTACGTGCCTGCATATTCACCAGTCTTCCCATAAGGGAATTCTTGTCACTCGAAAAGAAACTTTGCCACGACAATCGATTATCGAATAGAACATCACCGTTTCTTGGTGAGAGAATGAACAAGATCTAAAGGATAAGGAAGGCATTTTTAGGAACGCGAAAGGTGAAGAGTAACCGTAAAAACAAATGAAATAAAAGCGAGGAAAAAGAAATTTTGAAAAAGAAATTCGATTCCAGTTATGAAATTAAAACGATGTTATCGAGAGGAAATCGTCTTTAAAAATCTTACATCTTTGATCGCTTGAATTGAACATTTAAGAATAGAAATTCTCCATTTAAATATGTATGGTATTTCTATGCAATCTATTAATCGCGTGTTTCACTCTCGATTAATTCGAATTTTCTATCGGAAAGTTTTAGAAAAGATATCGTTCATACGCGATTAATTTTTGTATCCAGTTACGCCGTTAAACGTTCGAAAAAGTATCGATCCGACGTGTATTATTGAAGACGATAAAATAAATGAGCCAAAGAAAATGAAACGCGTGACGCGAATTAGCTACGAAGTGTTCACGAAGAAAAATTTCCTGTCTCGGTCATCCTAATTAGCGAGTGCAGTCGTGGTTGAGGAACTGCAGCTGCACCATCGAGAATTGTTACTGGGTACATACAGGCGCCTGCATCGGTCTTCCCGTTGTTGTACAATCAAGCAAGTTTCGCTGACGCATCGGTGAAAAGTTACGAATCGGACACGGAACGAAAATTTCTGTTCGAATATTTGCGTGTAATCGACGCAAATTTTAAAAAAAAATAAATTGAAAAATTCTTACTTTGCGAAAATATAATCGTACGAATACAACGTTAAAAAAATGACAGTATTAAAAAATGTTTTATAAATAATACACATTGATACACGGATATTTCTGTCTTCTATTACGCATTTAACGTATTCGAAAAAACATCGATCGAATCAAAGAAAAATCCGACGAAAAAACAAAATTGCGAAATATAATAATACAATAATTCGTTATTTTATACTTGAGAATGAATGCAAAAAAAATTTCGAAATACGATGATTTAGAAAATAACTCTCCATTATTAAAGATTGTTCGCATTTTCATTACAAATTAGAAATTTAGCTTACACTTGATGTTTTCTTGAACAAAAACTCGAATGGAAATAACGTTTGTATGATCGAAAATTGATCTCTCATAACTGTATACTTGACAGCCGACGCGAAAAAAATTGCGAAATACGATGTTTTAGAAAATAACACTTCTTTATTAAAGATTATTCGCATTTTTATTACGCTCAAATTAGAAATTTAGCTTACGATTAACGTTTTTCTAATCAAAAATTCGAATGGAAATAACGTTTATATGATCGAAAACTGTTTCACTCGCGACCGTATATTATACTTGAGAGTCGACGCGAAAAAAATTGCGAAATACGATGATTTAGAAAATAACACTTCTTTATTAAAGATTATTCGCATTTTCATTACGCTCAAATTAGAAATTTAGCTTACGATTAAAGTTTTTTTAAGGAAAAATTCGAATGGAAATAATCTTTGTAAGATCAAAAACTGTTTCACTCGTGACCGTATATTATACTTGAGAGTCGACGCGAAAAAAATTACGAAAAACGATGATTTAGAAAATAACTCTCTTTTATTAAAGATTATTCGCATTTTAATTACGCTCAAATTAAAAATTCATGTCACGATTAACGTTTTTTTAAGCAAAAATTCGAATGGAAATAATCTTTGTAAGATCGAAAACTATTTCACTCCTGACCGCATATTATACTTGACAGACGACGCGAAAAAAATTGCGAAATACGATGATTTAGAAAATAACACTTCTTTATTAAAGATTATTCGCATTTTCATTACGCTAAAATTAGAAATTCAGCTTACGATTAACGTGCGAAATACGATGATTTAAAAAATAACATTACGTTATTAAAGATAATTCGCATTTTTATTACACTAAAATTAGAAATTTAGCTTACGATTAACGTTTTTTTAAGGAAAAATTCGAATGGAAATAATCTTTGTAAGATCGAAAACTATTTTATTCGTGACCATATATTATACTTGACAGACGACGCGGAAAAAATTGCGAAATACGATGATTTAGAAAATAACTCTCCTTTATTAAAAATTATTCGCATTTTAATTACACTCAAATTAGAAATTCATGTTACGATTAACGTTTTTTTAAGCAAAAATTCGAATGGAAATAATCTTTGCACGATCGAAAACTGTTTCTCTTGTAACCGTATATTATACTTGACAGTCGACGCGAAAAAAATTGCAAAAAACGATGATTTAGAAAATAATTCTCCTTTATTAAAGATTATTCGAATTTTCGTTACGTTCAAATTAGAAATTTAGCTAACGATTAACGTTTTTTTAAGGAAAAATTCGACTGGAAATAACTTTTGTAAGATCGAAAACTATTTCACTCGTGACGATATATTATACTTGACAGACGACGCGAAAAAAATTGCGAAATACGATGATTTAGAAAATAACACTTCTTTATTAAAGATTATTCGCATTTTCATTACGTTCAAATTAGAAATTTAGCTTACGATTAAAGTTTTTTTAAGTAAAAATTCGAATGGAAATAATCTTTGTAAGATCGAAAACTATTTCACTCGTGACCGTATATTATACCTGACAGTCGACGCGAAAAAAATTGCGAAATACGATGTTTTAGAAAATAACACTTCTTTATTAAAGATTATTCGCATTTTCATTACGCTCAAATTAGAAATTTAGCTTACGATTAAAGTTTTTTTAAGGAAAAATTCGAAAAGAAATAACGTTTATACGATCGAAAACTGTTTCACTCGTGACCGTATATTATACTTGAGAGTCGACGCGAAAAAAATTACGAAAAACGATGATTTAGAAAATAATTCTTATTTATTGATGTTATTCGCTTTTTCATTACATTCAAATTAGAAATTCAGGTTACGATTGACATTTTTTTGAGCAAAAATTCGAATGGAAATAATCTTTGTAAGATCGAAAACTGTTTCACTCGTGACCGTATATTATACTTGAC